CTGAAACATCACATCACAGATTGGCACTGAATGACGAAAAGCATATGAGGGTCAGTCAAACTGCCTGGGCATTCAGGGTATGCATTTATATGTTATTTTTACAATTACACAACAAATCATTTTGACTTCTCTGACTATAAAATCCAAATGTATCTTGATTGTCTTAACAACTGATCCCAAGTGCAACAGTGAATCACTGTTGCTTTTAAATGATTAAATTTGGAATCTTGAAAATTAGTTTTGCTATAATCACAAATTGCTGGTCATGTGCATGCCAAACCCAAAATTGCATTGCTACAACTTGTTATTGCTAATCTATTCCCACTCCAAAGCAAAGCAAATTAAAGTAACAGCCCTGTAGGGCAGGGGTTCTCAACCTTGGCCCTTGAGGTCCACTTTCCTGCAAAGGTTTAGCCCCAACCTTGATCAAACTCACCTGCCTGTACCTTTCTAGTAATCCTGAAGACCTTGATTAGCTTTTTCAGGTGTGTTTCTAAGGGTTGTATCTAAACTAATCAGGAAAATGGACCTCGAGGGACAGATTTGAGAACCCCTGCTGTAGGACTTACAAGAAAGGCCTATCACAGGGGTGTCCAATCCTGCTCCTGGAGGGCCACGTTCCAGCTGAGTTTAGCTCTAGCCCCAATCAAACACACCTGGACCAGATAACCAATGTTTTCAGGATCACTCGAAACTTCCAAGCAGGTGTGTTGGAGCTAAACCCTGCAGGAAAGTTGCCATTCAGGAGCAGGATTGGACAACCTTGGCCTAGTGACCTTTTTATGCATAACATGGTATTATTATACAGCAATCTTCTTAATTAAACATGCAAACTGTGCCACATACCTTGCGTCCCACTTCATTGTTATGGAGGTTCATGAGTGTCCTGGCGTTCTGCCTTATCTCCCGTGCGTCTATGAACACCTTTGAGAAGCTCAGACCATAGCGAATATCAGCTGAGCATCCTCCCCACTTCCAGCCCTCCTCTTGGTTGTAGAAGCCCTGCTTCTCCTTGTCACAACCACAGCCGCTCAGCGTACCCTGAGTGCAGGCTGCCGTGATGGCATGGGCGACCCCGGCAGCAATAATGGCGTAGGTGAAGGCTGCTTCCTTACTTCCTGGATCCAAAAGAACATATCTAAATGGGTCCTTTGTTTGTTTGTTTTTTTTGGTTAGGCCAAACTGACTTGTTTTTCCAAATATGTAGACTACATAAATATATTTTTTCCATTTAAGCCCCTCGAAAGAAAATCCAGAAATTAGGAAATTGAAAACTTGTTCATAAACTCCGTCAAGATTGCCGACAACAAGATCCAGTTATGGGCAGTGTTAAATCCCCCTACATACCTGACATATCTTGACACTCATAGCAATAATCAAATGTGTTAGTTGAGTCAAGTACAGTTAATTTATCATGCACACTTCATACTAATTAACAACATGGCCTCCGGTAGATGGTGTGGGGGCTTACTGAGAAAAACATGGTATAAAAATGATCTAAAACCCAACATTGGCAAAACAAACTCGGATCACATACCTGTGATTACTCAACACACAAATAATTGTCCTTCAGTTGTCACAGAGAGGAAACAGAAAGACAAATAACTGTTTGCACACAGATGAGCAAAGGAAAGAACGGTCCATCTCTTTAATAAGCACAAAGGACAAGGGTTTATTTCAGAGACAATAGAATGGTAGAGATAGAGGGTATGTGTTTAGACTCTAGCCTGGCCAGCTTCCGTCAGAACGAGGGACCCACCCTGTGGAGATGAACTCCTCAGGCATGCAGTGCCTCCCTGGCCAGAATACTGCTATAATTGATTGCCACTGTTAAACAGGGCACTTCCAGGTTAACTGTGTATTTCATTTATAAGGACAAAGATAGGTCTGAAAGTTCTGCAAATAACTATTTCAGGGACTTTTTTGTAAGGTGACATCAAGCAACAAAGAACTTTTAAGTTCCAAGCTTCCAATTTTCACACTTCTTTTTTTTTCTTCTTTTTCATCATTATTATTTTGATATTTTCTTTGCCACTTTTTTATTTTACAATTGTTTTTCCCCGTGCCAATAAAGCACTGGAATTCAATTGAATGCAATGTAAGTCCCTTTGGATAAAAAGCGTTCACCAAATATAAAAACTAAAATTCCCTAAGCAAAAAAAAAAAATAATAATAATTAAGATGCATTCACTGTTGCTCAGTTATGTTAACATTCCTGGAGATGTACATATCCTTTTCTCGAATTAATGAGTCATCATGTATTGACTTTCCGAAGAATCATTTACACAGCTGAACCAAAGGAACACCTAAAAAAGTTAACCTCTTTAGGCCTCATAAAGAGTGATGTCATAGTTATTACAATTAATATCTTTGCTATTTTTTATAATTTCATGGCAAGAAGTGAAAAACACACAAATATGTCAGACTGTTAACAGGCCAGCTCAGCAATGCAGGAATTTTCACCTTCAAGCGATCAAGAACGGCAACTCACTAACATTGGTATGTGTTGACCTGCTGATGATAAACATCTTGGAACTCTTCCCATGCAATTTAAGAAAGGCCAGTTTGGGGCATCAATTATGTGGAGATTTTTATGAGTTGTTTGGGCTTGTCACCAGAGGAAAAGGGATGTATCCTGAAGAAAGGAAAATGAAGACTGCATTGATGCAAAATCTTAAAATTCTCATCAATACTAGAGTAGAATGCTGCTTGTTTTTGTATTTCACTCTATCTATGTTTACTTAAATCAAGATATTCTGAACACAAGATAAGACTTCCATAAAACAAACGTGTGTTATGACATGAGTGTCATTTATTTTCAAGAGAAATCTGAATCAGTGGCGTTGCATGATTCTGTGCGAGATGTCTCTTGCCAAAACTGTAAATGCAAGAGGTTAATTTATAAACCTCATACAATGTACTTGTCTGGACTTGAGGCATTAATGTTGTTGGAGGAAAACTATTTTTGAGCATACCGGAGGGTGGTTAAGTCAGAGAAGATTTAGGAGAGTTGCACTCAGGCAACATAAAGTAACACAAGCACAAAGATGGTATGCCTTTCGCATATGTGTCCATCTGCTGATTTCAAGCAGGCTATATTTCAGTCGTAACTTCATTCACATGTACGATAAAAAGGTAAACGGGTCCATGGGTAGTGGAGATGGCAAAATGTGCAAAAGTGCACCTAAAAGTGGAATCCATTGCCGTGTGTGCCAAATGTGGAACTTGGTACCAGGCCCTGAAAATTACTGCACATTACTCAACAACTTTTTTTTTTTGAGTACGCAACCCCCTCCCCACAGGATTAACTACCTCTTTTCATCTAGCTTTTGCTACTATAAGCATGACTGGTCATACGCCCACTGAAACCAATCACGTTTGAATGGTTGTCCACTTTATTTAATCCTCCCTATACCGACCATAGACAAAAAAATTCTGGATAAATAAAGCAGTTGGGCCGCTTCAGAAATGGAGACCATGGCCTGTCACTCTAGGTCAGCGTCAGCTCTGCAGCGCTTAGATGAGAGGCCACACAACACAAGACCCATAGCAGCTGTCCAAGCAGACAGCATTAAATAATATAATCAGCACCCACAACAAATCCAGGATGCCATTCAAGTCAAAACGGCTAAGTGTGTGCAGTTCTAGAATGAGATGGAAAGAGACGAAAACCTGGGCTTTTTTTCAGGAGGCGCTTGTCTTTGATGCAGAGGGATAAAATACCACTTCACCTTCAGTGATAGATACAAGTCTCTACAGATCTAAGCTTCTCCCCTGGGCCTCAACCACACCATCGCAACACTGACTGGATCCTAAGAGTGCGCAGCAAAAGGAAAGAGGATAAATTTCAGATAATATTATCTTGGATTTTTTTCCGGAAGAGTTTGGATATTTGAGCATTCAAAATTCCCTGCAGCCACAGGAAAAACCATGCAATAATGCAACCTCCTATTTGCTAGCAGGGTCTGAAACTAAAGCAAAGTCCTTGACACCACCATTCATCAAAGTGTCGCAGGCTCAATAGCACTGAAGGACCCCTAAACAGGCCAAAGTTTGCCTTAGGAAAATGGATAACATTACCCCATGTGAAAAACTCGCTTAATTACTTATGCTTTGTCTCTCTAAGGTGACATATTGTTACATTTCTTCTCAATACTGTACTTTCTTTTGGTCCTACTATTCAGCCACTGTAACTTATACCCGTGGTAAAGTGAAAACCCTGACTGCCAAATCATTCAAATCTACAGATAAGACAGGACGACTAGAAAAAAAAAATTATTTTGAGAGGGTGGACTGTTGAGAGGGCTATAAATCCAGCCGCGTTGGCACTTGCTCCATGAATGCATGCAGCTGAAACCTACCTGACATTGTTGCTGTGGCGTGTGAGACACTAAACATTAGCCAGACGTCCAATGACAAATCATTTCAAATGAGATGTCAAAGTGAGGGAAACGGGACACAGTGTAGTGTCATTCCAAGACAATGTTTGTACACTCTTTTTGGGAAGGAAATCTTTTATTTGCATGAAAGACGTATTAAAGCAAGAGTGTTCTAGCAGGTGTATAAGAGTGACCTCGGATTTCATTGTTAAATATTTCAAACACGGTCAGTCAGTCTTTAAGCAAACATCTGAAATCTATAGGTCCACAAGTTTAGTCTAAAAACAGCTTAATTTGACTTTGACACTCCAGGACTTGAAAGAAAGTGATTTAGCCAATAACATTCTTTGTGCTTTTATTATTTGTTGGAACTCTGTCTATAATAGGAGGATGCTAATTTCAAAATATCAACATTTCAATTCTGTATGCTGTAACAATATGAATGTAATAATTTGGTAACATACCCACTTTCAACTCTTTTCCAAAGACAGTTCTTTCCCCAAGGGCTGAGCAGTTCCACCTTCCATTTTTGAATTGAAACTGACACTCATTGATTCCCATTTGCGCTCCTTCTCCAATGACAATGATAGCGTCAGGCCGGCTTTGACAGATAGTCCTTTGACGAGGGGCCAAACCAGGAATTTTGTTACAGATAACACTCGCTCCCAACGCAATCACTGAGGAAAAGCCCCTGTAAAGTTGAAAAATAATGGAATGTTTAAATAAGAAAATACTGAATACCTAAAATACAGTTTGAGTGGAATGGGCCATGACTAAAACACAATTCATAGTATACAGTACATGTAATTCATAGCATACAACAAAACTTAGCACTTGAGCACTTTGGGAGGCAAACTAGTATATGGATATATGGATGTGTTATTATTGATGCATTATAACAAATAACATTTAATTATTGTTTTTAGAGACTTGTCACCAATAAACAACAGAAAAAGAAGAAAAAATATAATATCATGCTGTAAAGATGGACATACAGTATATGGGTCACTGACAATACAAGATGATAAAAAGGATTTTTTATTTTATTTTGAAGTCTCGTACCAAGTTCTTAGAAATGTCATCTTTGTAGTGATGTTGGTTTTTCTACAAAAATCTAATTTAACTTTCAAGTAAAAAGCACTAAATTACTTTACACCTTGAAAACATGTCTACGCAACTTCTTTTTTTAAATGATGTATTTGTGTAAAAACATTTTTTTTTTTTACAGATATTGTGATGATATTTCATTAAAAGACAAAAAAAATGATGAGGGTCTAAATGGGTCCTTTGTTTTAATACATCTAGGTAAGAAATGTATATTCTCTGTGCGCTCCTTGGTGAAGATAATATCGTAGTAACGCCAGCTTCTTAAACAGAGCTTTTATCTATTTTCCTGCAGCCGTTTGCTCCTCCCATGAGAAAAGAAAACTTGTTCGACTTTAGATTCCCCCCTCGCCCACCTCAAGTCCTTAATTGCGAGGTGAGAGATGTGTTCATCTCTTCACCTTCCAAAAAACTGATGTCAAAGAACCTTGTGTACTCAGTGGCCAAGAGCAGTACAACAAATATGAAAACTGAAAACTGAAACAAAAACGTATAAACTTGATATGTTCTATAAGTTAGTTTAATAACAATAGATGCACGACAAGTTAGATGAAATGTTCATAACAGAAAGATCGTTCCACGAAAAGGGTCCCTAACATTTGTGTAAGCAATGACTTTAACAGCTCATATTATATTTCCACATCAACAAATCCTGCTGTTACCATCATAACTTATCTATAAAATAATGAACAAATCTATAAATGAGAAAAAAAACTATTCTAATACTTACTGACTTCGTTAGTCTTTTTTATCAAATTGTCAATTTGTCAGTTTTTATTTAAGAAAAGTCAATCATGTAAAATCAAGTTGTATATCTGAATTGTGCAAACTTTTAAAATTCATGTAAAAATATGAAACATCATATTATTGCCAAATTTAATTGCAACCGTCCATCCCAAAATCAACCACACTGCAATCGCCTACAGATCCTTCATGCATGCAAAGTTTGGCAAGTTTACAGGAATATAAAAGTATAGCGGAATAATAATAATTAACGAAAGCAACATAAACCCAGCATATGCTTAATACAAAATAAAAGACATACTCTTATACTAAACCAGGCCGATCATTCATACAGAGGACATGCTGCTCCATTATCCTGTCAAGTTCAGCCATGTGTTCAACATAGACAATACAACAGCGCCATCTCCAGGATGAATGCATGATGCTGAGGTGGTTTTGGGACGTCTTTCACTCTTACCCTGAAAATATTTCATTTCTTTGCCTGTTCAAAAATAGGCATTAAACCAGGAACCCTTTAATACTAGTAATAATAAATATATTTTACATCAAAGAAAACCACAGATAAGTGTACAAATAATTTATTGTATTTGTTTAAAAATTAAATCTTGATTTAAAAATCACATGCATCACATTTTCTTAAATAACCAGGTGCTCATTTGGTGTGTATTTCTGCCCCTCAGGGAAGGCAATAGATTGTATAGTTATCTTCTACAAAGGATAAAATCACTACCCTACAACTATACAATCTACTACCTCACACTGCGCAAGCATTGCAGTCTCTTTTAACAATCAAAAACATTTCAGCTTGCCGACACATACCGTGACAAAGCTATCACTGATATTAAACATCAGGAAACGCAGGATGATACTCCGCAGCTCCGTTTTCACTTTGAGAAAGACAGCAGGATGTATAGTTATCTCCCAGTGTGGGTGTGACCCTAAAACTATACAACCTACTACCTCATCCCACGGTGCACATCGCCTTCTTTCAACCTGGAAATGAAGTAATGGATAGGGACAGAAGTAACCAAACTGATGTTTTCCGAAGTCCTTTTTGTCCGCCATGTTAAGATTCTTGCCTCAGCATCTACCACATTTCCAAATGCACAGTCAGTCTGTGGACAGGAGAAGGTTAGTGAATTAAGTTTCATCAATCTGCCGACAAAATAAATAGACTGTTCAAAACTCAAAATAGTTTCTGCTCTCATCACACATCATTAGACGTTACTGTGAAAGAACGCATTATGGAAAATAAATAAAAAAAATAGACTCCAACGAGACGGCTACGGGACTACAAAACGGTCCCTTTAAACGGCATGGGCAATGCAGCAAAATGGAGGGGCTGGCCAAGTTACTGGCACCCTCTCAGCACCAGGAAGCCATGTTGACATCGTGTGTGACTTGGCTACGTACTAACATCTCAAGATTAAATGCCGCCACATTCGGACAGTTTGGCTCTGGGATAGGTGTCAGTAACAGCAGGCAAGCAAGACTGAACCAGAGCACCCAAAGCCTTGGTTTCAGCCTTATCTTGTTGGTAGCTTGTAGGTGCGTATGATTCGAAATACAATTTTGTGTTTTTAAATTGAAAGTTCACCCAAAAATGAAAATGTTCTCACCCTTAGGCCATCCAAGATGTAGATGCACTGGTTTCTTTATTGGAACAGATTTGGAGAAATTTAGCAGTGATTGGCTGCTGTCAGAACAGCTGAAAAAAACATCAAAATAATCCATGGGTAATGTAAGTAATCCACAAACTGTGTGTTTGTAATAAACAAATCCATCAAAACATCTTTAACTTCAAACCATTGTTCTTGGCTAAAATAGGAGTCATCTATCCATAATATTGCTTTCTCCAGTGAAAAGGTTGTCTCGTCTGAATCAGGACAAAAATATGCATAGTTCATTCACTGTTTGTAAATGAAAACGGTCCAAAACCGTTCTAAACAAATATGTTGGTGGATTGTGATGTGTGAGAACAGGGGATGGACCTTTTCACTGGAGGAAGTGTTACGCATTACGGACTCATATTTTGGCCAGAAGTGATGGTTTAAATTTAAAATGCCTTGGTTTCGTTTCTTACAAACACGCAGCTTTCCACTTCACAAGACGTTAAGTGATGGAGTTGAGTGGATTACTTGTGAATATACTGGTAAAAAAAATAAAATAAAATGTATAGCCTGAATGCACTGTAAGTCGCTTTGGATAAAAGTGTTTGCTAAATGCATAAATTATAAATTAATAATTGTGATGTTTTTATCAGCTGTATGAACTCATTCTGACGGCACCCATTCATCGCAGAGGATCCACTGGTGAGCAAGAGATGTAATACTGATTTTCTCCAAATCTGTTCTGAGAAAGAAAAACTCAACTTCATCTTGGATGACTTAGGTAAACTATTCCTTTTGCGTTTCTAATGTTAAGTCTGTTTCTGCAAAATGCATTCTGATAATTTTTCATGAAGCAATGCAGTTGAGCTTATAAAAAGCATGATTAACTATGATAAGGATGCATTGAAAATTAAAACTTTAGTGTTATACTAGGTATAAGCAGTACATACAACAACTGTAGTTGCAATATTAAAGTCATAAAATGAAGTGTTTCCTACAGGACATTGTTTTGGCACTGATTGCCAATCTTTACTTACTGGTTTGTTACCCAGTCGAGTGATTTGTTCACAAGCTGGACAGCATATTGCACTGTATGACCCATTCTTACATGCTGTCAGCAAAAATAACTCAATAAGTTTGCATATTTATTGTCAATATAATATTGTGCCATGAGCTGCAGTGCAGTACATCTCCTGAGTGCAGGAAACACTGACATAAAGACAACTGAAATGATTATTTTAATGACAAAATAAATTAAATAGCAAAAAACAGGAAACAGGATCTTGTTCAAAACACAGTTAAAGTAGAAAGACAGTGGCAAAACATCCATCCCAAGGATCTGGCAGTGAAAACATTACATTTGCCCACTTGGCATTTGGCAACACAAGCATAACTTATAATTCTGGCAGTTCTGCGAGTTTTCCAATCATGCTGCATATTCATCTATGAAAGGGCACGTTTCTGAGGACACCAGTGCATGCATGTGATACTAGTTCCTCAAAGTGCCTCAAACAATCAGTTAACTACACTTAATAAAAAAAATGTGCTACTGAATTAGCTGAGAATACTATCAGTTTTTCAATCTGGGAACCCTTACTTACCTTACTTCACATACAGTCATTCTCTGAAAGCTCAGTATGTGATACAGAAAAACAGCAGACACTCGATTCAACGCTTGAATGCTCTCAAAGAGAGCATTTGTAGTTGAATGCCGTTTGCATTCGCAGTTGAAATGTCACTCCTGAGGTTCTGTTGCTCAAGCTCACGTGTCAAACTGACTTAAGAAATCCCACCTCACACCTCAAGTCCAGATATCTTAAAATATTCCTCGGATTTCTGTACTCTAGCTCACAGCTAACAGTGAGATTCCTCATCCACATGTATTGGGATTCCAAAACGTTATTTTACAGAGAAAAATTAAAGACAGACAGTCATATCAATCGTTTCTCCCCTCAAACTCCTTATATGTTGCTCAAATTTCCCTCCCTTAATGCATAAAAAATGGCGGTCTCCAGCGGCTAGTCTGTAAATACATCTATCGCCCAAATATAATGTCCAAATATGAAAACTGCACGGAATTTTTGACATACATTAGACTATTAAATTCTTTAGAGAACAGCATGTGATATAGCGTTATCGGCTCTATTCAGATGGCATGCTAGGATAACTTAAGTGTCCCTCACAGGCTAGCCAGCCAGTTTACACATCGCTCTTAAATAATGCAATAAGCAATGG